GGAGTTTATATGACTCCAGACTCAAGAATGTTAAAGTTAATGAGATAATTACGTGATTCATTGAGTGATGATTGACCATTATTGAAGACACCTGATGTTAACAAGCAGAATCACTGAAGGAGAAAATATCATTTTTTAAGACACCGTTATGGTGATCAGTGTTTGCTTTAGTTGGGCTCTTGACCCTTAAACCATTAATTTTAGATTTTGTTTGGCTGTTGTATCTGAGCTATAACTGCCAGATGAACAAAGCGAAAAGGTGATCAGGTGGTGTTGGTTATATTTTGACATAATCATAATTTGCCTGAATCACTGAACTCATTCTTTTTCTCAATCTCAGTCTTAAATGTATATTGCTGATTACAGCAGCCTGTGATTCTACAGCAAATGATTTCCAGCAATTTCCATATAATCCAAAATATTTCTTAAAAGTTGTTCTGATCAAAATACTTTTTTAAAAATTATTTTATGTTGACACACTGACATCAATAATCAGCCTGTGAATCTCAACAATGGTGGCAATAATAAGGCATGTTGCAGTGCATTCTGGGTGACACCAATCAAAACTCATTAATGGCTCCCATCATGCATTGCGGTATGAATAAATTATGATCCAAATTGTTTTACTAATTTCCTTTCCCTAATTGAATATTCTTTTTTGTCACCATTGTTGAGATTCATACACTGATTCTTGATATCAGATAAACTTTTAAGAAACCCTTTAGATTAGAAAATGATGGATCTTATTCTGTTGAATCACAGGCTGCTGTAATCAAAAATATACATTTAAGTCAGAGATTAGACTTCAAATGAGTTCAGTGATTCAGGTCAAATTATGATTGTCAAAACATAACCAACACCACCTGATCAACTTTTCTCTTTGTTGTGTCTGAGTTACAACTGCCAGATGAACAGAGAAACAAAATCTAATGTTATCAGTTTAAGGGTCAAGAGCCCAACTAAAGCAAACACTGATCACCATAGCGGTGTCTTAATTTTATTTTATTTTCTACTTCAGTGATTCTGCTTGTTAACATCAGGTGTCTTCAATAATGGTCAATAATCACTCAATCAATCAATTAATTAGCTCATTAACTTTTGTTAATTTAACAGTCATATTTTAACACTTTAACACTCTTGAGTCTGGAGCCATATAAACTCCCAGGAGAGTTAATTTAACACTGGAGTTTTTGCTGTTTTATAATGATTTAATATCAGTAAATTGACTTACAAAACTTTTATTTCCTCTATTTCAAGGCTAGTCAAATATAGTGATAAGTTAAAATCTACCTTAAATGATTAAGGTATCCTTAAAACCTTAAAACCTTTTTTACAACAAAAAAAAAAAAATTACTTAGCAGAGGCTGTCTTTTGATATTGTACCTTAACCTTTAAAAGAAACAGTATATATATGTACCTTTTAATGCTTGGGGACATATATGTACCTTTTTGACCCTCAAAAAGGTACATATATGTACCTTGGGGGACAGAAATGGACTCCTACTGTACCCCTATTTCTGACAGTGTATGCTGTTAGCTATAATTTGGATGGTATAGTATCATGAGCCACAATTAAAGTCTTGTGACACTCATTTGTGCAGGCGTTATTGTTGTTGTTGTCGAGTTTCCGCGCGCCGATTGCTTTGGGCCGGGCCTAGTCAAAGTCCAGGGCCGTTTTTTAGTCCCAGTCCGTCCCTGTCAAACACAGGAGACCGGGAAAAACACGGCAGTTTCACACTTTGCCGTCCAACATATAATGAACTATTTGTGATTTATGATGCATGCAATTGTCTCTAGTCCAAAAGCTTGATTAACTGGAACCATTTGGGTCTGTCATTTGTAGGGTTTGTGTTCCACAGGCGGAGTGCGGGTTAACAAGTCAGACATTGTGTACCGTGCCGACATCGCATCTGTGGTGTTGTTCCATAGAGAAAATTATATAGAGAGACAAAGTGGGGAGCACTAAATAGCATCAATCAGTGCATGTCTGTTTTGTTAGACAATACAATCATCTTGTTGTTGTTCACTTTTTTCCTCTGCTATAGTCAGAAATCTCTCCATTTTAAAGTAGCCCTGAAACAATATGGATTCCACTCAGCCTATAAGTTGTATACACCACTGTCCTTTTTTTTTTGTAGTTGTGCTGCTGTACTCTGAGACTCTGAGGTCTAGAAAATAGAGAACTATTGATTTTCTTTTTCTTTTTTTAAAGCAGATCCTCAGCATCTTAAACTGTACAGAGAGAGGCTTTCATTAGTGGCCGATCTGTCAGACTCACTGCTGGATATGAAGTGTGTCATCCGGAGGTGTGGGCTGCACTTCTAATAGTCCTTTGGGTTCTCAGGGCTCAGAAATGATGGGAATTAAACTGGCAGAAACCGTGAGCTAGACAGGAGACAGTGTGTTTGAGGATGCTTGACTTCCTTTAAGTTAGTTCATAATCCTCATTATTCTGAATGATGACTCTCATTAGATTCTCATTACTGTTAATACTGTAGTGAAACACATCCTGTCTAGACACAATGATAGTGTAAGCATATAGCATATATCAACGCTGTCGCACGAACAATTCGTACGAATTTGTGCAATTTGTCTAAACCCCAGTGATGGGTAGGTTTAGGGGCGGGGTCAGGGGGTAGGTCATTCGTACGAAGTCATACCAATTGAGTGAACTGATAAACCAATAAAACCAACGAGATTATTAACTGTGTTTACAACTGCTTTAGAAGCCTTGGAAGCTGAAGCTTGTGATTATGGTATAGGGGGCGTTATATTTCTGACACACGCTTGAGGTGTTTGACCAATCACAACACACGGTGTGTCAGCTGGCCAATCAGAACACTTTGAGTTTTTCGAAAGGAGGGACTCAATCAGGGGTGTGTTTCCAGAAAGCATCGTTTGCCAACCATGATCACAAGTCCCGTCGTTATCAGCATTGTTCAACGGGTCTGTGTTTTCCAAAACCATATTTTCAATGAATATTTCGCAAACAGCATCGCAAAGTTGCGTTAGAAGCATAGTTTCTTGTTTGCATGACATGTGAACTTAATTAATAAATCCTTATCTTGAGCAAAATAAGCAAGCTGAAATTCAATACAACCTCTATCTTTTATGTCGAATACATACAAATGTAATTTACTCCTTTTAGTTCGACGTCAAGAGATTTAAAGAACCGTTTTTGAAGAGTGCGCATGTGAAGCTTATGATTGAATCTGCAAAATCACTAAGAAAAATGAGAATTCTCCTCAGATGCCATGTCCATAATTAGCCATAAATCATGCATTAATTAAAAGAAGTTATTACTCTGCGTGACATCATTAACCAACATGGTTGAACGACAGGTTTGCGGCAATGCGGTTTCGTGAAACAGTCTTATAGCCAGATGATTTCTTCAACTATGCATCGTACTATGATATTTAAGCAGCGAGTTTTACGTCATTGTACGGGAAACACACTCCAGAGCATTTCTGACAGACTGGGAATAGGTATGCTGCAATAATGTACAATAAACAATGCGTTTTTTAACATTAAAACATATTTAGTACACCCAATTAAAAAAAATTATCAATCGCCCCCTTAAGTGCACAATTTTTGTCACATGTCTATATGTTTAGAAAGGGTCTGTCATATTCAAAAAAGTCATTGTTAAAGGGAATTTCCAATATATAAAAACATAAATTATTCGTCTGAACTTTATCCATTAATTATAAAATGAAGCATTTCTTAAAAACCAGCTGTGCAGTAAAGTGTTCAGACATATTGGCATAAGCTGTGTGAGTTGCTCAACTGATGCTGATATTAAGCTTTGTCTCCAAACAGGAAATATACAACTATTACAAATACTATTACATGATGTTGAAAAAAATGTTTCACTGTTTTCAAATACTAAATATGATTTATTATTATTGACATCTTACCTCTAATATGGGACAAGTTGTGTCACTGGAAATCCTATTTGTGACATAATTTTGGGACATCTATTACAGTGTGTTATTGATGCTTCCAATTTAATTTGATAGCAGCATGAAATATAGAGTATTATCTCAGTGACTTTTCCTTATCTCAAATACTGCCCTAATGGATCAACTTTTTACACTGTACAGTAATAAAAATGAGGTTGGTGTTTAATAGTCATAAAAGCTGTTTTCTTTATGCAAAAATATAACTTCTTATTTTTATCTAGGGGTTAAAAATAATGGTATTTTCGCAGCAATGCCATAGATATTTCTTTTGAATCCATAAAGAACGTTTCAGTGAACTGTTCTCCTTGTTCTTATACTATAAAGAACATTTCAAAAAAATCTACAGAACCTCTTTCCACTGTAAAGAACCTTTTGTGGAATAGAAAAGTTCCATGAATGCTTAATGTTCTTCATGGAACCCCGGACAGATGCCAATAAAACGTTATTTTTAACAGTGTTGCAAGCACAGTGACAGCACTGACATACAACTCTGCATAACATAAAGAAAGACCCACTCGTCGTATCTCAGATCGGATAATCCGAGTAAACTGGTGGAAATCCATCGGATGGCGCTCTTGATGCCTTTGGCGTGTGCACTGGGAGCTGTCCACGGCTCTGAAACTACAGCTGAGCGGTTTAAGCTCGCAGACGCTTCATCCGAAGCAGCTGAACTATATTCCTCTTTATATTGAGCCACAGAGACAACATTATTCCCAGAGAAGGAGCAAGTGATGGCACACATCACTGAAAACGCCTGTCGTGCCGCTGAATCGATCCAGTGTCGTCGCGCGCTGCGCAGGGAGTTCTGACGCGGTTATTCCCCTCACGAGCTTCTACTCATTGATACTTCACTAAAATCTACAGAGATGGTCCTTTGTCTTCTGGATTACTTCTGACTCTATTTGGAAACTATTATGAGTAGGAGTTCAACACCACCAAATGAATGACCTGCTGATTACTTTGCTCAGCAATCTTCGGATGTTTTTCTTCGAGCAACTTCATCAAAGAGCTTTCAGTTAAAGGAAGGCGTTTGCTTTAAGCTCGCATATTAAGAAACGCAACCGGGGGGAAAAAGATTAAAAGTAAATTATGTATTTTTTAGTTCGTATGTTGTTGCACAGCCCGCGTGAAAAATGATTGCTGTAAATAGCGAGTGTATAACTATGATGAGAAGATGCCTGATGACGTTCAAACCGTTCAGGTAAGACTTGACAATCTTATCTAGGACTCATTTTAAATGTTCAGATATTGCAGATATTTGACACAACTAATGTGAGACCTTATTAATGTGAGATCAAACAATGTAACAGAGGTAACAATATTTCTGTCGTTTTGTTTAATTTCTTTATGGTAGTGTAGGAACAAACCAGATCATAGATAGATAGATAGATAGATAGATAGATAGATAGATAGATAGATAGATAGATAGATAGATAGATAGATGCTTACCATGATCATTTTTGTGAGAAATATTTCGCGGCAAACTTATCGACCTTGTCTAGTTCGTATCCTCGAACAAAGCTGAAATGATGTCAAACTTCGTCTCTTCACTGTTACCACATGAAAGTATATCTGCAAAGAAAGACAACTGCTTACTGCAAATTACATGGTGTGGATTTATGGAGGTAGTGGAACTATTTTAGGCTCTTGAGAGGATTTCATTGATGTTGTCAGAAGAGCTTCAGGAAAGGATATGAGGATGGTGTAAGAAGAAGTGAGACTCTGGTGAGCTTTCGCGCTGTTTTCACACAGTGGCGGGAATCCAGCAGCGCGAGGATGTGGGTCATTCTGTTCTGCAGGAGCTCTGCAACTTATAAAATGAATATGATTATGCTATAGTTTAAGCCATTTCCCCCCTATATAAAAGAGTGTTACAGATATATGCTGTGGTCGAACTCAGACAATTAAATTGTATTAATTAGCAGATTTAATTAGGCCTATATTGTGGAAATAAAATAAAAATAATGCCTAGATGATTACATCATCATCATCAATAAGTAGCAAACATTGTCATCACATTTTCTCTGGTTTTTCTTGCCATAATAAACACAGTTACAGCAGCCAGAGATAAAAAAAAAAAAAAAAAAAAAAAAAAAAAATATATATATATATATATATATATATATATCAACATTCGAACTGCAAAACTAAAGCAAACTGATCACCATAATAGTGACTTTTTATTATTGTGTTTCTCTTCTCTTCAGTGATTCTGCTTGCTATCATCAGGTGTCTTCAATAACGCTCAATCATCACTCAATTAATCACTAATCTAATTAACTCTAACACTGCTTCAGTGTTACTCTGCTGATGGTTCCCATAATAACACTTGATTTGGGCACATTAATAGTGTTTTGAATTCCACCTTTTCTACCCTCAAATATCTGTAATGCAAATGTTAATTCACCTTAGGATGAATAAGAATTATTATTATTGTTTTAAATAAGCACTAGCAGTGCTCAAACAGCTGGGTTGGTTGGGTTAATTTGATAAATTTTTGCTCTACCATAAGCTTTTAAGCTCATTAGAAAAACGTACAAAACGCAAAATACGTTGTGTCGTTCACGTTTTGCGACAGTTTAAAAGTGAAATGTCCAGTGAGTTGCACTAAAAGCGTGTTTATTTTTAGATGAACGTGAATATGGCAACGTTTTATTACGTTGAAGTTTGTACATATCACCGCAGTCCTGAATTGAAATGTCCGGTGAACGACGCTTAATGCTCCATTTTACAACAACGTACACCTACACTAAACCCTAAACCTACCCGATAATGTTAACAAAAGCAAATGTGACATAAAAAGGCAATTTTAACCATGGCATTTTAGCTTGTTTTTAAACTCTTGTCTTTGAGCTCTTTTATCATGACTCGTCTTTCTCGGGAGTCGTACCCGAGCTCTCTACATGTACAATTCTGTACCAGCTGAGCTACCGAGCAAGCTTAGTACATCAGTAAAAATCACACATATGGAGGTGGTTAAATGGTGCAAACTCCAAAATATATTAATTTACAAATCATGCACTGTGGTAAAATGTGTTTTGAGGTCATAACATAATTGTGCAAATAGCCGTGTGAAAAAAAAGTCTTTATTAATCCATAATCTGCCCCTGTAATCATAATTGTGTGTGAAAACGATTAAAAGCGCTTGCTGTTTTACTGCCTCTAGTGTTCACTTCTGTTAGAAACTGCAGTGATATTTACCTGATGGTTCATATTTTGTGGCGCTGCAAAAAGTGTACAGGGGTACATATTTCCTATGAGACAGGTTGATAAACTGCCATCCTACACACCTGTTTCTGATATGACTTTTTGAAGTTTAAAGAAACAATTCACCCAAAAATGAAAATTCTATCATTATTGTGACATTATACCATTGTGGCTTTCACACCGGAGGAAACTTTTCATAATTCCTAGAACTATTGGTGTAAGTACCCGGATTTTGGTGTGTTCGCACCGTAGAAACTAGGAATTATTTTAGTTCTAGGAACCTCTTTTTGGAGGGACTAATTTAGCTCCAACTTCAGAGTTGGGTCTAACCCAGCACTATAGGAACTACCAGTGATGTTAGTGTGCGCTGATTGGCCAAATGCACGTAAAACACCAGCACCCGCCATTAAAAAAAAAAAAAAGCTGAGTAAACACACAGATTCTAGCCTATGTATTTACTCCACAAACTATCTCTAAGAACATGTAAAACAGTGATAGATGGACCTCTTAACCTTTACGCTAAGGAGAAATTCCAACGCCACTTTGAGAGGACCAAGCCAAACATGATTATGTATTTCTGCTCAGCAACACTGGACATCAACCACACGGCATACGCTAATACCTTTTCATTACTGATACTTTCTATGTATAACAGTTCTATTTAATAACGTATTAGACGGGACTGTTTGATAGATCGTAAACTAATGAACACGGAGAATGTCTGCACTGTGTGCTTAGACTCTGGCTGGCGTTCAGCGCCGTCAAAATAAAAGTCACAACAACAAGAGCGGCGTATGTCACATCAGAGTTCCTAATGGTGGTACCATTGGTTCCTAAAGGGAACCATTAGTTCTCAGGGAAACACCCTTGTGGCTAGTTCCTAGAACTACCAGGTGTGAAAGCCCCTCATGTCTTTCCAAAAATGTATATGCTGTTATTTTCCATAAAATGACAATGACCATGTCTGAGAGGCTCTAAAAACGAAAAAATTTTCCTACCATGCAGACCATTTGACCCTTGTTATATTCCAAGTTCTGTCATGGCAACTCTCTGGAGATTGGCATGGTAATAGATATGGCAATGTTAATGTATTTGGTCTAGGCGGAATAGATGTGCAAGTACCGAGACTTATTACTGTGAATATACATTCACAGACATTGCTGTGAGCATGTAAGACATTCTGCTGCTGCTGCACATGTAACATACATGATTTAAACCGTAGCAGATCTATACAGGTGGAGCTGGGGAAGGTGGAGAGTTTCTGGAAGCGCTGCATACTGTGTCATGCAGACAATGATGTGATCGCTACCAAACAAGTCAAAGACTTCTGAGCCTGCGCCATCTAGATTTTCATGCCAGAACTAGGTAATAATCGTATAATAGTGTTGTACGAGGAACAGTCGCATTGACGGTCTATTCCAAATCTTCTCCTCCTTCTGCTCCTTTATGGTGCGTTTTTTTTGGAGTCTGACAGACGTGGTAAATAAACTATCCTTTTATAGTAAAGAGTTGTGCTAATGTTTTTCTCATCCAATACATACATAAATAAAGCTTTAATTCATTGGGTGAACTATTCATTTAAAGGACAAGTTTCACAAGGACAACATACTAACAATACACTTCTCATACTTGATCCTCATCAATGTCTGGCTTGAAAGTCTTTTTCACAGGTTTTTTTTCTTGTTCCACCCCAGCACATTTATATCTGTCTGTCTCGGTCTGTCTTTTTCAGGATATTTGTGGCGGGAATCGGTTTCTTCAGTCTGTGCTTCTTAATGACCTCTCTGGGGGGGCAGTTCTCGGCCAAGCGACTGGGCGATTCCCCATTCAGCATCCGAACCGAAGGTACATTAATAACTGGCAGCTCTGCACGTCCACCTGTGCTGACCATATGCATGTCTAATTCATCCTGTGGCATTTGGAAAGTGTCATTTTATGGGATCTTTAATGGGGTCAATGGAGGATTTCACGTTGGCCTTTAACAGGCTTGATTATCCAGGGGTCGGTGTGCTGTGAATAGCATCTCTGGCTGTCGAAGACCCCATTTGTCTTCAGTCATCACTTTTTATGAAAATAGATCACACCAGAGGCTAGAGGTCTCGTCACTGCAAATGCCAAAAAAGAACCTGTCCATGAGAAAGACTCGCCCAAAAAATAACATTCAGTCATCATTTACTCACTCATCAAGGGTATTCGTGAAAGTTGATGAATGAAGGGTGTTCCAGATATGATGCCGGCACAGATTCTATGTGACCTGGTTGAGATCGTCTTCTCTGCAATAGATGCATGCGATGCTGACTTAGAATTTAGCGAGGTAGCGTAATTATGCCGTCTACCTTTTGTGAAAGCTTAGATGTAGGAATCTCACCCATACTTCTTTAAAATTCTGCCTACATGGGCTCACTACAGAGGTTTTGGAAGAGAGCCAATATGTTTAATATTCAGTTCCTTTCTAGTTTCAACACCGCTGTGCCCAACAGGAAATGGTGTACCCAAATGTGGCAAATAGCCATCTTAAGAGCTCCACTCGGTAGCTGGAAAATTGGAAAACTGTTTCATGGTGTGCTCAGCAAACCCCAGTATAAGGCTGAAGATGATGGATTAGTGTTCTGTGATGTTGTGGGAGAGGTCGCATGGAGAAAAGAGGGGGAGAGTGAGAGAAAGAGAGCACAATCTGATTAATTAACCACTCCCAGGCTGAGGTCTTGAGAAAGCATCTGGCTCTCGCTCATTAAACACTGCCTGCTGATCAGCCAGAGATGGACGTCAATGTGTTTTGGGAGCCCAGCGCTGACATGTGAGATGTGAGGGTTACTTTAAAATGAATTCCAGTTACAAATGACTAATTATTTCAAACTAAGTGCATATGAATTACTTAAAATGCAGTCAGTATCCAAATATCACTACATCACTACACATATTGCAATCTGGCTTTGAGATTTTTTTTAAGTTGCTGCAAGAAATGAAAATAAAGACACAAGAATTGTCATATCTGCTAGATCAGGTGTTTTCAAACTGGGCTCCGGGGATCGCCAGGGGGCCGCAAGTTAGTGACGGGGTCTGTGGAAAAGTCTAGAAAAGAAATGTAAAAAAATATATAATTCTGTGTATAAATTGGATGTGTATAAAAGATAAATGTTTTGGATAGGGGTCCCTCATGCGAGAATTGTCATATTTGGGGGGCTGTGGCATCTAAAAGATTGATAACCCCTGCACTAGATGAGTCAAGTCAAGTCAGCTTTATTTATATAGTGCTTTTTACAATACAGATCGTTCCTTTACAGTGATAACAGGAAAATAATGCAACAAAGTTTATTTCTAGAAGAAAGTATCGTCATAGTCTAGCTTAAGTAATTGCAGTGATGGTTCATTTTTGTTGTAAAAAAGTTATTAATTTAGTTCATTTATATATATATAGCTAGTTCTCATTAGTTCAGTTCTCATAAAATGGTGCCAATGCATGATTTATAGTTATATAGACTTATACTTACAGTTATATATATAGATGACTTATAGTTCATCCAAAAATAAAAATGTGTATGTTATTATAAACATGCAGTTATTTATATTGTTGTTGTTTTTTTCTGTGTAACTTAAAATGGTCTTTTGTTTGTTTTTTGGAGTTACATTTGAGAATGTTGAACGCTGGGTCGTTATTGTCACGTTTAGTTTCTACATTACAGAATTTTCTGACAATTTTTTTATTGTACATCTGTAAGGGTCACCAGCTGGAGTGCCCTTGAGAGGGTCCAGAGGGCACTCCACATCAGATTATCGTCATTCCCTCACAAACTACATCTGCCATAACTCACTGCCTGGACTCTTCATCCATTATCACATTCACCTGTGTCTCATTATCTTGTTTAGCTCACCCCATATAAGCCTGGTTTTCTCATTCATTATCTGCAAAGTCTTGTTTAGTGTTACACTGCAATTCCAAGCATTCTCCCTGGTTTCATGTCTCTTGTTTTTGGATTCCTTGCCTGTTCCGTGGATTACTATTTTTCCCGAGTTCCTTGTTGTGTTTTTGTATGGACTGCCTGCCTGTGTTTGACCTTGCCTGTACTTTGGATTACGTCTTTGGATATACCCTGTTCAATAAAAACTGCATTTGGATCCTCAACCTTCTTGTCTCGGAGCAGTTCGTGACAATTACAGTATTAAAGTAAAACAATGCTGACATACACCAATTATGTATATAATATCACCATTATGTATAAATACTTAACAATTTACAATTTTTTTTTTTTTTTTTTTTTTTTTTGGTAGCACTTTATTTTACAGCCCTGTCTCCCATACCATGTACTTATTATAGCAATTACAATAACTGGGTAATAACTAGGTACCATGTAGTTACCTTATATTACTTTCTTAGGTAAGTGCACATACTGTAAAATAAAGTGTAGCCATTTTTGGGGGGGCATTGCTGATCTAACAGTAATGTTTAGCTTTTAGTAATATATCTCAATGCTCTCTGTTGGTCCCTAAGAGAAACCCTGCTGATTCTCTGATCCTCTTCCACATAAGAGATCCACCAGCTTTTACACCCTCACTCTGGCCATGTTCTATCTTGAATAATACCATCCAACATATGTTCTGGGATTATGCCTCTAATGGATACTAATGGCTATTCTAAGAAAGGTTTGTTATTATACATTTTTAATGAAAGCTTGCGTGTGGGTTGATGCAAGGAGCACTTTGTCCGTTTTAAATAGCAGGAATGTGTTAGTTAAGCAAGAAATACAGGATGCCTAGCATTACAGCCATAAAACTAGCTTTCAAACTTGGTTGCATTTAGAGAATACAACCCTACACTGGACAGGCTCTAACTTATTACTATTCTAAATGGAAATATAACCTATCTGATTTAATCTATAATCTAGTAGTCAAAATATTGCTGAAATGTGTAGATTTAGATGCGTCATTATTAGGGATTCGAAAATATTATCTTTTTCATGCAGTGGATGGTGAATCATACATCCGATATCAAAATTAGGTGTGTTAATGCCTTTTCACAGCTGTTTATACATTTTCTACTCATGAACCTAACAATAAAAATTATTATTTTCTTTTTAAATTGAAAAGCAAATTATCAGAAAGTACACGGACACTAGCAACACACTAATGTATTTTAAGTACTATTTATTACAACAGTGCTCTGTTCAAGGGGTCATGACATTGATTATGTATTATTATTTGTATATGTTCTTTGAGGTTTACTTATTATGTTAACAATGTTTTTTAAAAAATAACCATACATAGAAAAACGTTTAACCCTCATTCTGACCCTCTGTCTGAAATGATCTGTTTTTTAAGGGGAAGCTCCTTTAAAGTGCCCATTTTTTTTCTTTCTCAGATATTACCTTTCAATTATTGTGTTATATAGATGTTAAAAGTTCTGAAAAGTTTCAAAGATCAAAGTGCACGATAAATTGATTTATTGTCAAGCAACGGATTCTGAACTGCCTGGAATGAGTCGTCAGTTGTTCCAGTCTTACTTCCTACTCGAACCTAAAGTACGGTTTGTAACAAATTTGCATAATGCTAGTCTATGGTCTTTATTGGTTGCTCACAAACAATGTTTGACCTTTTTCTACTAATTTGTTCCCTCATTATAAGTAATGGAGTTCTATTTACACTAAGCTCAAATAGCCCACCTTGTTGGCAGAGGCTATTTACACTAACTCAGATCAGAGTCACAACAGACTGGGCCATCTGACCAATCAGAGCAGAGTAGACCAATCACAACAGCTTGGGCCATCTGACCAATCAGAGCAGAGTAGACCAATCACAACAGACTGGGCAATCTGACCAATCAGAGCAGAGTAGACCAATCACAACAGACTGGGCCATCTGACCAATCAGAGCAGAGTAGACCAATCACAACAGACTGGGCCATCTGACCAATCAGAGCAGAGTAGACCAATCACAACAGACTGGGCCATCTGACCAATCAGAGCAGAGTAGACCAATCACAACAGACTGGGTCATCTGACTAATGAGAGTCGGTCAGTGCTCACCAGTGGGTGCTCACACTACATGAGAGTCATGAGACCAACGTATGTTTGAGAGCGCTCTCATGTTTAATGTCATTTGTTGTTAAAAGAACGCCATAGAAACTGCTTATATCACAGGATCCAACACTGTTGATGATTATGAAGTAAATTACTTGGCTGGCAATATATTAAAATTTGTATTACTTTACTATACTTTTAATTTATCTTGTTCAATGCATGCATTTTATCATCTTTTGCTATATACCGCAAATTAAACCAGATGATTTAAAAAAAAACTGTATTTTCTGCAAGCTTTTTTTTCATGGTTAATTTAGGTATCTTTCCAAAAAAGGAAACTTAACCAAATGACAAGGAGTTCATGTAATTCATAAATGTATGCACACTAAAGCATGCATCAAAAAAAAAAAAAATCATTTTAGACAAGTTACCATTTTAGGTACCAAACAAGACCTTATGAAGATACCAAAACAAAACAAAACAAAACAAAACAACAACAACAACAAAAAAAAAACTAAACCAACCACCTTGACTGCATTATATGCCTATACATGGTTCCCACAGGCCAATTAATGTCACGTGACCTCCCCGGAGACGCCATCTTTGAGGGCATAAGCTGCTCTGTTTACAAAGTTTTACAAGCAAATTTCGAATATTTCTTTCGGTTTATTATGTTACGAAAATCATGAAGAGACAAAGTGGCAGAGATTATAAAGAGACTCTATTAACACAAGACAGAGAGAGGTACAATGCGAAAATTTCAGTCATAAATGGTGTGGAGGAAGCACCGAGCACTGATTATGCAGCTTTGCTGTATTATCATGACAGTAT